CACTTTGGTTTCTGTTCATGAACTCTCTGCTTACCCATATGTCTTTGAGATTTCTACATATTTTTTCTTCCAGTAGATTTATTGTTTCTGTTTTAATATTTAGATCTTTGATCCATTTTGACTTTAGTGCATGGTGATAGACATGGGTCTAGTGTTAGTCTTTGACATGTGGAAGTTCAGTTTTTCCAGCTTTGGTCATTTGAGAAATGCAAATTAAAACAACATTGAGATTCCATCTCACCCCACTGTTGTCATCAAGAAATCAATGAGTAACAAATGCTGGTGGGAGTCTGGGGGAAAAGGAACTCTTCTCCACTGTTGGTAGGAGTGTAGACTGGTATAATCATTATGGTAATCAGTGTAGAGATTCCTCAAAACAGAAGGATTAGAGGTCCCATTCCACCCAGCTATTTCTCTTTTGGATATTTTCCCAGAAGAATTAAAAAATTCATACCACAGCAATATATGTGCACCCATGTTTATAGCAGCACAATTTGTAATAGCTAAATCTTGGAAACCACCAAAATGCCCATCAACTAAGGGATGGATAAAAAAGATGTATTTTTATATAATGGAGTACTACTCAGCTATAAAGGATAAACCCAAGGCTTTTATAGGTAAATGGATACAACTACAGATAATACTCATAAGTGCAATAAATCAGACTTGCATGTGTCAACATCACATTATCTCATTAGTGTAAGAAAATGAAAAAATAAATAAGATCCAAAATCTACATTACATATTGTAAAAGAGAAAGAAACTGTTCAAAAGGAAAGAACAATAGAGATGGAAGAGAGGAGAAAAGAAGGAAGGGAAAAGAATATAGATAAACATATATATGATAGATAAGATAGTTATACTACTGATTTCTTTTAGTTCATTAAAAAATGGTTTGTGTTCATGTTTGATCAACTATGCATGTGTATATCTTGTTATCAAGCAGCTACTTTGAAGTGGTTATATATTAACCACTGTTAATCTCTTATTATATTGTTTTGAAATTCTGTATCATTGTTTCTATTGTTTTTTCTTTTTTCTCTTTAAAATAAAAAATAACTAATTAAAAAAATATTACAATAAAAGACCTACTACCATTAATTCCTCTCAAAATATTTCCCTTGTTTCAAACACACTGATCCCATCATTCTGGCCAATTCCCAAAGCAGTTCTGGAAGTCCCCTTTCATGAATATCATTATAAAGTGTGATTTAAACAATTCAGAGATCGCTGCTGCTATGCGGCGTTGAGTGGAAAGACACGTGTGCTCTTGTACCTTATTCATCAGATCTGGTGCTGTGTGACCTCTGACTCTTACGCAAAGTCAGAATGATCAAGGTCTAATTTCGAATTGATTTAGAACATCAAGGCAGCCATAAAAGCACAACTAAATAGAATTTATGAAGGCACACAATTGTGAGTGAACACATTTTAAATGTTTTCTGAAATTATTTCCAACATTTGCCCAGAATTAATGATGTTTGCCTTCATGTTGCCACATTTTATATATGTTCAATAAACATTTGCTACATTTTATTCTAATCATTTCTGTATTGGCCGCCCATGTTTAGCTATGAGCTTTTTAAGGATAAGATTTACAGACCAATGTTCAGCTTATTTAAGAGTTCAATAGGTAGCGATTTATTATAAGAACAAGTCAATGATTGAATAAAAACGCAGAGGTTCAGAAGGTGGCAAGAAAAAGATAGTCATGTGGCTGGGGAAGTCTATGACTTTGAGGACACTAAGGTGATAGGCTGATACTGATTGTTAAATCCACAGACATTACACTGATTTACTCTAAATCAACTGTAAGTAACAAACAACACTTGAAAATCCTAAAGGAGAACTGTATCACATGGTTTGCATTCTGGAAAGATACCTTACTTGAAGAAGTGAATTAGTTATGTCTATAGCATTGTTTAGTATCTCGGCGCACAAACCCTCTGCCCATCCCAGAAGTCATTTCCAGAGTGACCTCTTGGGCTGATGGATCCCTGTGTCCTCTACTTGAGGGAAGTGTCTGCCAAGAAAGATTTTTTAGCCTCTCTTTATGGTGCAGGCCAGAATTGCCTGATAATGAATGTGTCCAAGAACAACCACTAGCAAATTTGAGGCATTTGATGCAAAAACCCAATTTTCTTCATACCCTAGTGGAAGAAACTGAAGGTCGTTCCATACCATCTCTAGAGCATCTCCAGTGGTGCTGAGCTGTAGACTCCCACAATGCGGACCCGTACATGCTTGCTTCCCTGACTCTTCTTTCCTACCTCACTTCCCACCCCCTTATCATATTGCCTGGGAGCGGTTTCCCAATGAATTGTTTATACCCTGACTTTTAAGTCAATGGGACTACTGGGAAAATACAAAATAAACCAAATTTCCTGTTTTCTCTTCTATCTAAAGCAGAGAAATGTTGAGAGTAAGTTTAGTAATAGTATTTTTGTGCCATATGTTTACAGATGATAAATATAAAGAACTTACCACAACATTTTAGCAATTAAATAAAAAAGATTCTGACACTTGGGAAATTTATGTTTCTTTATTTCTCAATAAAAGCAGAAATGTCGATATGTTCATGTCATAGGGTACTGCACACTGAACACTGGGAAAGTTGTTATATTTATATACATTTATATCTGCTATGCCTTGGCCATAGTGAATTAATTAATTTCCTACATATGAAAACACATAAATATAAAAAGCTAACATTTAAGGGAAAAGTTACTTTTCAATAGGATTATGTTAATATAAGTCTTAAAGCCATAATTATTATGCATTTATTGTTTAATTTCTGATGAAACATATTTTTAAAGAGAGCTCCAACAAGACGATGACATTGCATTTTTACAGCTTCATTATTGTAGGACATCATTGAGAAAAGAATTAAAATATTTTGAAACTCTGGAATACAAATGAATGATAAATTACAGGCTAAATTGTTTCTTAACTAGTTACTATTGCCCCCTTACCCTCATTGAACACTTACAACATGTAGTAATGTAATGCTACTCTCTTAGCTGGAATCATTATTTTTCTAAAAGTAAGCTCAGTATTGTTGAACCCTCAAAGTGATAGACTGAGTGACATTAATTTCTTGTTTGTTAATCATTAATTTAAATTGATTTCATTTAGAACAAATCATTAGGGTTCCAAGAAAAGCAGAAAGTAAAGAGAACAGGACATGAACACTGTGACTATGCCTCTGAAAACTTCACTACAATCCTTTTGTTTGTTTGTTTGTTTTTTGGTTTTTCTCCGGTACCGGGAACCGAACTCACAACCTTGCGCTTGCCAGGCAGGCGCTTTGCCGCTGAGCTAAATCCCCAGCCCCTTCACTCCAATCCTGTTACTCTATTAGTGGCTGCCATCCCAGCTTTGCTTTCAGTGTCCACACATCTCTCCACAGAGGGTCACATTATAGTTTCACTCTAGGCTGTAAATAAAACTAATACATAGATGAACTTCAGAGCAGGCATTGATTCTGTAACAAATTTACCTAGGAAAAAGAAGGAAAATGTGAAGGGAGTGTATGATAGCATGTTGCAGAAGTTGTTAATGTGAGCAAATAAATATTTTAAAAAACTAGATTTCACCTGGGGTAGTGTGTCAGACATCTCTTAGACCATACTCAAAGCAAGTGTCTGAGAAAATGCTACAGCCACAGTCCATTCAGCTCAAAGCTGTCCTCCAAACCTCTGTTTTAGTAGTCTTGTTATTCTCTGTCCTCCCGGGGTTTAAACTTTGAACTTTTGTAATAACGTTCCCTATGGATTAAATATTCAGCTGGATGGTCTCCTTAGATTTTATGCTACCATTTAACTGAAGAACTTATAAAAATATTACTCAACAATCAAACCTAACCCAGGCTTGTCATTCTGGTTTCCTGCCTTGATGGAAACAGAATTCAGACTCTATCTGAAGCCACGAGAGCTCCCAGCATCTCAAATTCTGAGACAAGGAGATAGAAAAAAATCACCAGTCTCTGCTTCTGCCCCCACCTCTCCCAAGTCCTTCTTGCTAATGTCTCATACTCTCTAGGTCATTCTTACAACACTTTGCAGTAGCTATATTCCCAAGCATGATAGGATTCTTAATAAATTCAGTCATGAAAATAATAGCTTGCTGTACTGAAATTGTATACTTCCTATTTTTAGCATATTTCAGCCGAAAAAGACCTCAATAAATGCAAGAAGATAAAGCAAAGTTAAATCTTTTCAGTAAGCAAAAAAGAATAGTTTGGACCCCACATTTTCTCCTGAGTGTACAGAGTTAGGTGAAGACAAGACATGGAATCACAGCATAGTCTCCTCTCGCCGGATTCCATCTATTCTCGCTTCTCAGTTACATGCTGCATGTTCACACCCAAAACCTTTTTGCACGTCTAAGTACAACAGGCAGGTTTGGAAGGGAATATAGCACACTTGTACCTCTGCTCTACATATGAGGGACTGATCTCGAGTTATACCAGAAGTCTTTCTCTTCCATACATTTCTTTATGGTTTAGAAGTAACACGATGCTATTGGAAGTCAAGGGGCTATATTTCTGTCACTTTTTCAACAACCTTTAAAATAATAAAATGATGGCATATTCAGTGCAGATACTAAAGAGGTCATCACTACAGCCAAGAAGTGAAAGCATCAGCATGAGAGGGAAAGGAGGCACAATGAAATAGGGTAAAAAAATAGAGACTGAGAAACAGGAAATCAAGGTCGTTCTGCCTACTAGAGTAGTTCCCATTCTCACTCATATAAGTATGATGCCTACAAGAAAACACAGACTCTAGGGTCAGAAACCCAATTCTGGAGTCCTCATTCTGTCATGTTCCTCATAGGCCCCTGGCCAAAACACATTAACTCTGTGCATCTACATCCTCGTGTCATAAAGTAGAAATAATAATACTATTATTATCTGCTCTCAAATTCAAAAATACCTAGAAGAAGAAAACAAATATATCTTGTCAGCTGTAAGTATGAAGTGCTAAGTTACTGGTCTTGCTCTATAGCTGCTCAGGAAGGAAGCCCAGGTGATGTAGGACACTTTGTAGTGATGATTTCACCTCCTTATTCCTGAGGCTATAGATCAAGGGATTCAGCATGGGAGTGACCAAGTTGTTCAGAACCTGTACAGTTGCATCCAGCCAGGGACTTGGGGTTGGCCTTAAGTAGATGAGGACCACAGGCATGTAGAAAAGCAGAATGGCAGTGAGGTGGGCACTGCAGGTGGAGAAGGCACGACGTCTGCCTTCAGCAGAGCGGATCTGCAGAATGGAGTGGACAATGCAGCTGTAGGAGGTGAGAATGAGAAGGAAGCAGCTGAGGGGCATGAGGCCAACACTGATGAACCCCACCATCTCCAGAGATGAGGTGTCTGCACAAGCCAGCTTCAGCATCACTGGGATGTCACAGAAGTAATAGTCCACCTCATTGGGGCCACAGTAGGGCAGCTGGAAGGTGAGAGTGGTCAGAAAGGTGGCCTGAATGCAGCCAAAAAACGAGGTCCCTGTGGCCAAGATGGCGCACACTCTGTGGCTCATGATTATTGTGTAGCGTAGAGGGTGACAGATGGCAACAAAGCGGTCATAGGCCATCACTGTGTAGAGGAAGCACTCAGTGCAGCCCAGGAAATGGTAGAAGAAGAGCTGGCACACACATCCTGCATAGGAGATGGCTCGGCTGTTCCCTGAGAGGTAGAATAGCATCTTGGGGGAACTCACAGAAGGGAAAAATATGTCACAAATAGACAATTTGCATAAGAAGAAGTACATGGGAGTGTGAAGCCGAGTGGAGGAGACAATTGCCAGAAGTATGAGCAGGTTCCCTATAAGGGTGAAGATGTAGAAGGACAGAAACAAGGCAAATAGCATGGTCTCCAGACCCTCTGTGTGTGGGATGCCCAGCAGGATAAACTCAGTCACCACTGAGAGATTCCGCATACCTATGAGAAAGTCTACCCTTCAAAAGGGATCCAAGATTCCCAAATCTGGACTCCAGTATCAGATTATTAAGGTTCTTCCTGGTGAGTTCTTTGATGGTATCTTTAACAGCAGCAACTGACCTTTTTATGAAAAGCAAGAGCAAGATTTACATAAGAAATATCTATTGGAGAAGTCACAACCTAAATAATTCTTGGAAAGAATTTTATAAAAGCTTCCATGACAAGATAAAAAGTTTACAGATATTTGCAAAACATTTCCAGTTAGAAACATTTTTGGCATTGTTCTTGTTATCTTTGAATATTTAGATTTTTACTTCCTATAAAATGTTTGAGCAACAAGTTCCCCCTGTTCATTACCACCTGCAAAATAACAGGAAAAAATTGTGTTAGAAATCAGAACAATTAATGTGAATCTTGGCTGCAGCACTTTTTAGTTATTGTAGTTAAAATTGCCTGCGTGTGTGCATTCCTGGCTTTTGAACACATTTATTAAAAATATCTTTTTGTTTTAGGAATCACACAACAGAACTTTCTCCCGTCAAACACTAGATTTTGGAATCAGCTTTGGTATAAAAGATGTTGACCCATTATTCTAGCCACTTGTGAATAGTCTGTCTGAACAACTGTGTTGGTTCCTTTTCCCTCATTGCTAAGACAAAATACCTGACACTCAAAATTAAGGAAGGAAAGGTATTTTTAGCTCACAGTTTGTGGAGGTTGCAGTCTGTAATCAGCTTGCTCCAAGTCAAGGTGGCTTGGCCTAGGGGCAACAGTTCAAGGACGCAAAAGACAGCAAAGCAATGAGAACAAACTAGTGGGAGAACAAACCTCTTTCCTCCCTGATATTGTAAGCAGGGTACCCTCCTCCCCCAGGCACGTATAGCACTCACATAATCTCCATCCCCTCCTCTTGCACAGGAGGATGATGTTTACAAAGTGAGGACCCTGGCTCCCTGCTGAGTAGCTCAGTGCAACTTCTAGACTTCCCAAGTTGGCACGATGCATTAACCATTCCAACAACTCAAATTCTCAAGAGCTTTTCATTCACTGTCCTTAGTCAGCAATAGTTCCCAGAGTTTCTGGTCCTCAGCTTGGCTCAGAAATTGTGATATTCTGTGATTCCACAATTTCATTTGACTCTAAATCCAGGTCATGGAAAGCAAGTCCCCAAGGACTAGGAAGCACTCTATTCGGATTTGTTAGTGTGCAAGGGGCAAAGGCCAGCGGTGAGACATGAGCAGCAGTTTGAATACTCACAGCATCCAGCTGGGAACATGGTCAAGGTTTCCCAAGTGTAGTGAGAAGACTTCACATTTACTCTTTCTGAGCAGAGCACAGCCTGCTCCATCCAAACACTGTGCATTTCCTCCTCATAAATAATCCAGTCTCCCAGGACTTGTGCAAGCAAATCAGTACACATGCACCTCCCTGGATTGCTTTCATGGGTGTGTACTTCAGATCTTCTGAAGCTCTTGTTGGAGTTCAGTGATAGCTCTGAGGGAGCAATTAGTTTGTCACCCTCATCATCATCCAATCAAGAAATCATAGTCATGATATCATCAGAAAAAAATGCTCTAAAGTGGGAAATATGTTCCCCTAAGATTGTTTGCATAGTAGAGTAGGTTCCAATTCTCTGATTATGCCACTACCAATGGTAGCATAATTTCATTTTACCTGAGCTTATCAAGGATTGTGTCAGATGCAACATCTTAACCTTGTTCTACAAAGACAGGACATTAGAACTCAGAGCAATGTGGCTTTCCTAAAGTTAGACAGTAGATGAGCCCAAGCATCCCCAAATTTAGTTTACTTTCTACTACACCACAATGGATTCCCAAAATAATTCCAGGAAGAATGCAGCTGTCCTTGTGAGAGCAGAGAGTTATTAATAGATTTATTTGAGAAATTTGAGTAAGTTTCTGTATACCCATATAGCAATTACACTTTCTATTATATATTCCCTGAACATACCACGTTACGGCCCCAAAGAGTAATGGTAGAGAAGAGAGAGAGAGAAAAAGAGGTAGAAATTAATTCACTAGCCTCTGTTCTGTTCAGAGGTAAAGCCTGCCAGAAATTTCAATAGATGTTTCTCAGGAGATCTCTCTATCTTTGACATAACTTGTGGATTGTTTTGTGTTATATTTACATTATCCTCATTTCTATCACAGAAGAGTCTAACCCATTTAATTCCTTATTCGCCAGTCCAGGTATTCAATATGCCAGCAAGTCACTGGCATATTGCAGGGACAACTGATTGTAAATGGTAAGAGATTTTTTTTTTCCTGAGCATTCTTGATCCAGTGATACATGTGTCATTATTTGTTGGCAGGACAGGGGTTGAGGTGAATTACTAATCACAAATTTCTTTTTTATCTGCAATAGCAGCAAAAATGAATTCAATTATAAACCAAAAATGCAAGAGAGTAGGATGGCTACTCATCGGATGACAAATTACTTGTGTTTTGCTTCTTCCTACCCTCTGTCCTTCCTTTCCTCCTTTTTGGTGAGATGAAGTTCCTAGCCTCCTGGAAATTTAAGTTTCTGTGAAAGGATGTGATTCACTTAACAAAAGAGTGAAACAATAAATGTAGGACTAAAACCTATGAAACATATTTTCTGCACTTTTGCTGGAGAGAGCTGAGAAGGGCAGCGGTATGAAGGGCATGAATTCCTGGTGTCTTATTGAGTATATCATCTATTACACTCCTTACATTAATAATCTTTGCTGCCCATATTTTTAGTTGGCAAAAAAAGTGAAGGTAAACAACCAATGCAATAATTAATTCTTGTATTATTATTGCAAGGTGTCATATTTTTGCAAGCAGTGAGTATTTTTATAAGTTTCATTGTTCTTAGGTCCAGGTTTCATGGTCTGATAGCATGTACATTGGGGCTATTTAGATGGCAAACTTAGATACAAGACAACTTCATGAAAATACCAAACCCTTCTCAAACTTTAATTTCCATACAAGCAACATGGAAAGTATTAAAGTGATGACTTCAGTACAGTTCTTGGTGTTGCCTGAAATTTTGTACTTCTAACAAACATCTAGGTGATGCTATAGCTCTATTCTACAGGTCACATTCACCTTAAACAAACACAGAAAACAGTTCAGGAAGATTAGACTTCATGGAATAAGTCACACAAGTTCTCTTAATGTCACCTTATACAACAGCTATCAGGAACTCTAACCTAGACTACATGGTATCTCAGTGAAAATTACTGAGCAACTTGTCAGAACTCTAGAACATTCAAGCTAAAAATAGTAAGAGTTCTATAGATAAGGATATTAAGCTCTTAAGGGGTTAAATCATTGTCTTATTATCAGATAACTAAGGTATGACCAGGATTCTAAAAGTGACCTGGTTTGCTAACTAGTGCCCTTCCCTTGCTTCACATAAAACAGTAAATCAGCCTATAAGATATGGGGACAGAAGAGAGTAAATAGCAGACACATCAAAAAAGTTGAGACAGAACAAAAAGGATAATTCAACTAATGCAAGTCCAATGATTTTATTTATGAAAGATAAGATACAAAAGGTAAATATAGAAATTATCATTTTAATATTGATACAATAGTTATTTCAAGGAACAGTTCTGCAATAGGGTCATTTCCACTAGGATAAGGCACATATATTCAGAAGCAATCATGGGGAGCTCCATTCTTCCTCACATGGTGAGCAATCCTGGTTCAGGTCTCAGCCATTGTTTGCCCTATTATTTCTTTTCTTATACTAGATCAGAGCCAGATGTAGTCCTCATGGGTTCAGGAAAGTCCAAGGTTTCCATAATGGATCTCTTACAGGTCAGCTGATGGGTAAGGAAAATCATCTGTCTTCAACAAGAATAACTCAAATCAAGTTGCTTAGGCAGCAGCAAGAAACGTATGAGGTATAGGCTAATAAAGTCTAAGCAGAAATAATCAACAACATTCCCAAGAGTGCCAATGCTCAGAATGGACATCTTGATTCTCTCTCCTTGTGATCTTGATGTTTATTGACCTTGATGCTGTTTTCAACTTTCAAATCTTCCTTCTAAGGATGGAGAACTTCAAAGCTTACCCATAACTGCATAGAGGTAGAGCTCAAAGGTAGAGGTTTTGCATGGGATGTATAAGGTCTTGGGCTCAGTTCTCAGTACCATATAAAAAGAAAATGGTGAGTGTACAAATGTAATATAGAGATTTCTCTAAGTTAGGCATTCTCTAACATCAATGCTGATCTCCTTAGACTGGAGTCTTTGTCATCTGCTTTTTAAATCATCACTATGGAAAACCTAGAAAGACTATTACTGAATATGAATGCTTTGAACTATAAAGAACACAGGTTTAGAAACTACTATCACTTTTATGAAGCCATGAATTGGGGAAAAGAAAAGGGAAGAAGGAAAGAGCCAAAAACAAGTACTTCTTTTTAAAGTGGTATTCTCAGAAGGTGAAGATAGCGGGATCCACAAAAGACTTCAGGAACTCATTAGCTGCTTTCACAATCTTGTATGTGGCAGAGCCTGTGATGACAGAAAACAGAAATCATGGAAGGGACAGCAAGTAATAAAGCTTTCTTCCCATTCTCCCTGATCACATCCCTGCCTCCTGCTTTATCTTTCCTTAATACACCCAGTTTTTCTCTTCTTCCTGCCCAGATTCTCCTTTAGTCTCCTCGGGCTCCAGAAAAAACAACAGTGAGATTATAAACACCCGAAGAGTAAGTGCTCCAAGCTCAGTGTCATACTTGGCTCAGCATGGAGTGAGTGAGGACAGTAGGTACCATTTCATGTCTTGCAATTCAGCAATTGACACTCTCCATCTATGTCCCCTTCCTTCTTTACTCAGTACTCCCTCTCCCCCATTAAAGATTTACCCCATCCTGACACAAAAAGACTAGCTGGAAGACCAGAAAAAATCTGAACCAGGATGTGGTGGGAATGGCTATGAGGACTCTCATGGTTACCCTTTGGAGGCCTCAGGGTGCAGCACCTGGGAAGATGTCCAGCTTCTTTAGAGGGAAGGGGAGGGATCCTGGGACTGTGCTCCTACCTGCATGGGTGCGAATCCAGGCTCTGGCCTTCCTTTCCAGAAGATCCCACTCACACTCCCGGTCCATTGCATTGGTATGCAGCCAGACAACAGCAAGGACTGTGGCCCAGACTGAGGAGTTCACAGGCTGTATGACAGACAGAGAAGTCCCTGAGACCTCCAACCTAGGCAGCAAGCCCCTCCAGTATACAAAGTGCTTCACACCCTCCTCACTTGCCACCCCCCGTACTACTTCTAGATGGAATTACCTGCTCCCTCTCTACCTCCTTCTACTACTTGCATAAAATAATTCCAGACCCTGAACCCAGAGTAATGATCCATTCTTTGTTAGGTAGAAAGAGCTGAATTGTTAAACCCCATGTAACCACCAGGACAGTGCTGGAAGCCCCTAAAATATTCCAAGCAAGAATTACCCACCTGTGGTAAGAGAAACACATATGTAATCACTTTCTTATTTTAATCTTTATCACCACAAAAAAGGACATGAAGAATAGTCACATTTTCAAAAGAGAAACGGAGTTCGTACAGAACTGAAATTATTTGTTCAAGTTAGCTGTCTAGCAAAGATGAAGGTGGGACTGAGCAGTAAACATTTTGATTCAATAGAAAATCTTAGCCATAGAGCAAAAATTTATTCTACATGAGTTTTCACCAACTGTTCCTTAAAGATTTGGTTTTTAGATTTGGTAAATCTAAGGAAATTTCTCTCTTATTTCATGGCCTTTAAATTATGGAAACAGCAGCTATCATTTTTCTCTGAGTAGTCTCATTTCAGACTAAAATTCTCTTATGTCAAAGAAGAACACCCATATATGTTTTAGACTAAAAACAAATATCACAGTGTTTTTTTTTAAAATACAGTGCATGACATGGCCATATCTGGAAGCAAATATATTTATGAAATTCTATGTCCACAGCCCAAGAACATAACAGTTTTTCAGAAAGTTCATTACTTCTACTAATGAGATTCAAATATTCTGATTCAAATTGGTTTGAATAGGAAAATATTCAACACATTGCCTATGAAACTTCTGATTTTCATATACAATCACTACTTAATGCTTGCTTCTCTTTTCTATTCATATAGTTGAGAAGTTTGAACCAAAGGCAGTATTTGATATTTTTTCCTACTCTATTTTTGTTGCAATTATTGTTTTTTCATGAAAAATTTTAACTAATTGTTCACAGGCCTTAGGGATCCTGATTCTCTTGTCTAATACTTAGATTCCCAGTTTTGCCATGTACAAATAAGAAAACTTTGGTCTACATTGTTATCAACATTTTTAATGAAAATATAAACTTCAAAAAATTTGAGCTCTGCTTTGTCAGTTTTTGTTAGTGCAAGTATTCATCATTTAAAAAATCAAGTCCCTTACTAAAATTCAGATACACGAACTCTGTTGTTCACCTCAATCTGCGGGCCTAGTTATCAAGCGAAAGAAGGAAATGTTAGTCCAATATGTCGGTAAATATGAGGTCAAACTTCACAATCCTTACGTTAACTTCCACGTATTTATCAATTATCCTTTTAGTTATTTGTTCTAGGACAGCATTTTTCAATAGAAAGACATTGCGAGACACGTATGGATTTTTTAAATTTTCTAGTAGCTGTATTTAAAAAGTAAAAATAAAGAGACCCAACTATTTTATTTATTTTACTTCATTGTATTTTATTTTATTTTTGGTGCTAGGGCTTCAACCCAAATCTTCTCACATGCTTACTATCTGCTCTATCAGCAAACTATTAATACTCCCTGCTATTAATATTTTATTTAATCCTATACACTAAAAATCATAATTTTAACATGTAATCCATACAAAATAACTACTGACAAGATGTCCTGCATTCCTTTCTTATAACCCTTTGGAATGAATGCCAGCATGGCCCACTGTAAAGCAATTTTTCTCCTCATTTACATCAGCCATGTATCAAAGTCTCCATGGATACTGGGAAACTATGGAATATTTGTGTTTTATTCAGTCATCTTCTACAGTTTCAAAATTCAGACTAATACTTGACCCTCACACTTTCAGCATCTGTCTCATATAACAATTTCTCAGAAAGCATTAGAAGATTTAGCAAGTTACCTTATGCTTCTGAATATGATCTACCCATATCATTGTATTTAAATATATTTGCAATAACTAAGTGGCTTGTATTATCACTTTGTCCATCCTGACTTCAGTTGATTTTTCTACCATCTACACCACCTCTTTTGGTACACAGAGAAGCAATCATGAAGAATTACTGGGAGCTCTGTAAACAGTCTTGGCATGTACTCCATCTCTGCCTGACTGACTCAGGAACATCATTAAATCACTCAGGTTATAATTTCTTCATATTCTACACAGCAGCATGAGTGGCACTGACCTTACTTAACTGAAGTAAAAAATTAATAAAATCATGAATGTCAACCACTTAGCACAGTGCCTCACACACAGAAGTATCTCAAAAAAGTTTAGTTTTACACCCAGATGACTGTCAGTGAATATAATTAAAATAGAAGAGCATTTTTGTTTTCTTTTTGTCATCTACCAACTAATATGAACTTCTACTACCTGGCCTGTTAATTCTTTGTTCTCTCTATGCTAACATAAGCATAAATCTTTCAATTTCTACTTGTTAAAAATTAACTTAGTCTATGTCTCTTCTATATTATCATTTTATAGGTGAGCCCCAACTCACCCAAATTGCCACGCCAAACTTCATCCCATCAAAAACATACATATACCTTCATTCTCCTTTAAATCTCACCTCGGCAGGGTGTGCAGCCTTTACGTCTTCCAGTTTCATACCTAGGACACTGGCCAGATGTTTATTCAGATCCCAGGAACCATTTGCATTTTGCAGGGAAATCAACTGCACAATACCATTTTCTTCGAGAGAAAAAAAAGAGAAAGAGATAAAAGATGGGAAGTTATGAAGCTTGTGGTCCATTAGCATACCTGAAATAGGTTACTGAATTTACAGACAGGCTGGAGCAAGAGTGCTACAGGAAAAACATGTCATCAGACAGCTTCCAGATCTAACTTCAAGCTCAATTTTCTGAAAGAATGACCAGTAGTACAGGGGCCCAAATAGGATGGCAGCACAGTTCTGCAGGGGCCAGTTCAGCCTGCAGATAAGCTATGCAGGAAGAGATGGATAAAGGACTTTGTGTCATTAGAGGTCACCCGTTGGGAGCAGCTGAAACTAGAAAGTAGCTACGCGTGCAGGACAAAGCCAGCCTGAGAACATAGGAGCTCCTCGAAGGATGTAAGAAGCCATTGTAGCTTGTTAACTGATTGCTGGGCAGAGGCTGATATTAATCAACCTCTCAAGAGTATAAAATAAACGCTGTACTGTTCTTGGGCAGTTCCCCTTCTCTGATCAGGAGAGAGGACCTCCCCCTGATCCCAGCATTTTTTCTCTTGTCTATATTTTCCTCATTTTCACTGCCATTCCTTCCTGGGGGTACAGCAAGAACCCATCAGATCCGTACAGACTCTAGTGGTATGGAAAGGTTAAGGGTCCTATATTGTATACTAATGTAGCGGGGCTAACTCTGACAAATATAAGGACTGGGCAAATCTTGTGTCTCCTGATACCTTTCAAAGAGATGACTCCCAAGGTACAAAAGTCTATAAGAAAGCACAGCACTGAACATTGTCCTTCAGTCCCTGTAGATAAATAATAAACTGAGGCTCATCTCACCTTTATAGTTATTTTGCAAACTGGTTTCATTGGTTGAAGAATGAGTGTCTTCCTTCTGAGGGATGGATACTAGGGGAAGTGCACATATGATCTTCTTGCCCAAGCTAAAACTTTGTGATACAACTCGAGCTATGTGTGACAGACAAAAATTGGTGAGAAAATATTCCTAGGAAGATGCTCAATCAGACTGAGGCCATTGTGATTTATAGACCCACCAGGAAGCTCACTATTCTTCCAATCTGACAATGTCCCACAGCAAAGCACCTCCCTAGTGGACTGAGGTAGAGGAGATTGTTCATTGGAACCAGAGGAGCGCCCGAGTGATGAATGATCTAAAAAACACCAACACAGATACTGAGACACCCTTCTCTCCACAGCAGTAGTTACTAAAGCCTGATAAATTGAGACATAGCTCCCCATCTATATTCGCTCTTCAGTCACCACCATTACTATATAATTCTTCTCTCCTAAGCCCACTTTCCACACACTTCCTCAATCTCTGAGCTCTCTCTCTCTCAACCTTCCATTACATCTTTTACAATCACTGACACATAATAAACATTTTTTTCTGAATCTAAGAGGCTCCTTCCAACTAAGTCTTAACTTAAAATGAATTTACTTTCTTCAAAAACTCTTTCTCCTGTATCCTCCTCGAAAAGGTATTGCTCAGTATCATGCACTCCACACCCAAGGTTGGGAGGTGAAGCTGATAACCTGTTCAACCCCAGACTATCACTCTCTGTCCCTTCCTTGGTTACCCTGCTCATGTCCTCACTCTTGTCAACCCCAAACTCTCTGACATTTCTAACTATTCACTGAAGGCCAGACCTTAGATTTCTACGCCATTACAGGATGTGCCATTACCTTGAGAGATTTTGGGCTGTCCCACCATCCTAATGCAAAGCTTCCTGATTTTCTCAAACTCAGTGACTTCAGAATTATTCTCCTTCAGCCACACTATCCTTATAAAGATAGCCTTGTTATGATGCATAATTATTTCACAAATAAAAATTTAATTTTAAAAATTTGACCTTTGAAATACAAAATCTATTTTTTCCTGTTTTGTCTAACTTTAAAACTTCCTGTTTTATCTAACAGAGATTCCTGTTTTATCTAACTTTTTTTACCACATCTGGACCATGTATAGCCTTAATCCTTCTAATTTTTTTTTCTACACATCAACTTTTTTCCATCTTTTCCTCTCCATTTAACTTAAATTTCAAATCCAAAACTTTACCACCTTCTGGCTAATGTCTTCAGTCCTATATTCTTAATTTGCTCTCATCATCCTAACTGAGTAAAACCCTAACTTTGAAATTAAATCAACATCCTATCTATTTCTTCCTTATGCCAAAGATACTGAGTATTGTAGAAATAAATGCAATAAACTATGATTTCTTTAGTAGTTTCTTTCCAGTAAAAAAGTTAAGATACTCAAACTCAGCTGGACCCTTGGCATTCCTTGACAACTGTTTGTTTCTCTCTGGACATTCTACTTTCCAAATATTCTAAGTGCTTCCTTCAAATCTTCCCCATTTTCCTCAAACACTGGCTTCTATTCCAAGCCTAGGCCCATTCCAGTCATCAACCATCTGTGTGATCATTCACCACACAGTGATAGAGAAAACAAGTCAACCTGAGTTAACCATTTGATTATTCAATGTGTATATATATATATATACACACACACATATATATATTCTGTATGTTTTAATATCTCCTTACCCCCTGACCACTTTATTTTAGATCTCTCTGTCAATGAAATGCACAAAAATTGAAGCATAACTAGATATTCTATGTGTAGGACACAAAAACAAAGCAAATTTAAAACTTTCCACAACCTTTTCATTTAAATAATATGCTCACATACTTAGGACCACTTCATCTATAGGTATTTGAATGGAATAAAACTCACAATGACCAATTCTTTTTGCTCTTGCATATAGAACAGGCCTTGGGATCTCCCTGTGAAACAGGGGCCCCTGGACTGGCCGGTTGAGCTCTTTGTTTATAGCAATAAAAGCTGTGAAGGAGCTCATGACTCCAGATTCCGTGCTGATGTTCAATATATCTTGTCTTTCTCTTGCTGGGGTCTCTCTAAAACCCAGATCTTTTGTCTGGATCAAGGACTTTGCAGCAAGACGATGTATGGTGAAGCTGGAAAAATAAATAAATAAGCACTCTGAGACTCAGCATAATACACCACAAAACAACTGCTTGGGGCTCTCAAAAGTTAGGGAAAGGAAAGGGAAGAAAATGTCAGAGAATGAGGAAAAACAAGACTTGAGGGACTTAGAAAGGAAAAACAATTTAAGGAAACAAATTCTGTCAGTCAAGAGAAGAATCCAAAAGAGAAAAATAAACAAACAAACAAAGATGGCAGAGGAAAGAAGGAAATGAAAGAGAAAAGGAAGGGAAAAGAAATGAAAACAAAATGATTGCTCACTTGGAGTCACATTTGGGTTGTAGAGAAAATGTCACTTTTTGTTCAATATTCTTGCCCTGGAGTGTGTACTTAAGGCACACTGCCCCTGTGGCTTCCTCTGTCTACAAATCAAAGAAAGGCAAACATGATGAAAAGGAGAGCTATCCAGCAAAGAGGTCAGAACGGGGGCAGCCCTCTAACTTCATACACTACAATTTCTGACTAGGAATCAGATAGCCCTGAAATAATAAGGAAGATGGAAGGTTGGCTCTATAATCTCTTGCTGAAATGCAAATCCACCTTCCAGCATTAATGAAATTGTCCCAGCAGTGGCTACACTAACTAGAGAACAAAGAAAAGTGGGGACTCACCGGTATCGTCCCTGTCAGTTGGGCATAGAAAATTAACCTCTGACCCCTAAAAATGACAGTCTGCTCTGGTGAAAGCATGTTAGCAGTCAGATCAGGAGGCAGATCCCAGCTCAGGGAGATGTCTTCCACCACAGACTGGAGAGACCACTTCAGGGTCCTAAGAACCTGATGGGTGAGAACAGAGTAGGCACTAACATATCAGACTGAAAATCATAGCTACTATTACCAGTAGCTGAGTAATCAATCATGTATGGACTGCTATGTGACATAATGTACATCATGCCTATTCTGTAATTGTGTACTGGAAAATGAGCATTATTTCTCCTGCTTTACAAAAGGAAAGCTAAAGCTGAGAGATTTAATGGCATAAATAAAAACAGAGAAAATGTCAGGAAAAGAGGATCCCTGGAGGAGGACATTCAGTAAGAGACCTAAAACTTACCAACAGAGAAAGAGTTCAGAAATATGATACAAGATGTGTTTTCTTGTTGTCTACTACTAAATAACAATTTGCCGTCCCATCCAATCTAATAGATATATCACACTTGTTTCTGCTCATTTACTTTTATCCTGTGTAACAAAGGTGGTGCTGAATAACAGACCTGGGAGCTCAGAAATGAAAGCCAAATTTCTCTGTCTTTCCTCTTAAATACAAAAGCCTTAACCTATTTCAGTATCTTTTCTCTGGGCTTCCAGCTCCTAGGGCCAGATATCATTCTCTAGGTACTGTAGTGGCCCTTTCCAAAAGTATATAAGAAAATGGGAAAGCCCTACTGCAGGCTAAGGATGTGGGAAATACATTCTGGAGTCAAGTTTTGCCCTTGAAACAGTATCTTAACCGTGTCTCATACATGGTCTGGATTATCCACCTGTGGACCTGGAGCTTGCACCTCACCTTGGACTGCATCCTGTCCTTGCCTGTGATAAACTCTGAAGTGCCCCCTGATACTCGAGCAATACTTTTTATTAAGCTGGTGGAAGCACCTTCTCCAATACCGAATGAAAAACATCTGTAATTGTAAAAAGATAGAGGTTAGAGACAGCCACTCAAAGTGAAATCATCAAATTAGCACAGAACAGGCAAAAATACATGATGAGATGGTTTGTGTTCTTGACCAAAGCATAATAGCTACTCTTTTTTTTGAGCACATTGTATATTTTGTTAACCATACAAAATGCCTGAAATTAATAATACAATTTAATTATCATGAATGTCCTACGAGATAGCCTTCAGTTTCGTTTTGCAGATAAGGAACTTTAGAATGAATTTCAGAAAGCTGTTGAAGATCACACCTCTAAAGAATAACAGAGATGGAACTGAAACGGTGGTCTCTCTGACTGCAAAATTTCCCCCAGCAAATCAAGGAAAGTACCAAAGCAATCATTAGTGTCTGCCTGACTCTGTATCTGTCCTGGCCTGGTCACTTCTGGGCAGGAAAAGTGTTCCTCCTGCCCTTCTAACTGGAAAGTTCTCACCTTGCTCTACTCCATTTACATTAAATAGCTTTTTAACTGTCAGGTGGTTTCCCAAACCACTGTGTATAAACAGAAAATGCATTAATGCTATTAATACATGTGTTTTAGGTTGCAGGTCAGAAACACTTTTCACTGTAAATTAATACATGGAAGTCTGGCGCACGTATCAGTCTCTCTTGATATGGGTTACTGTTAATCATCATCCTCAACTCTAGTGACACCCACATTGGATTAAACTAAACTAACCTATGTGGTGTTACTATACTCTTTTAAGGACAAGGACCACATTTCTAATTCTAATGCCTAATCAGAATCATTCTTCGCTTTAGAGCACAACCTACCAGCATTGTGATGCCATCAACTTTAAATTTCAAACATGATTTTTGAACTATAGCTTATGCTATAAAGTGCTTATGTAGTTTTAAAATGCTTTTCTGTTAGAAGCAAAATTGCAGAATTTTACTGATGGCTAACTTTAGGGCTAGAATCTCTCTAAAGTGCTTGAGGTAGATGATGATAAAAACAATACTAACACAGTTTCATTTAGTGCTAATTTTTTATCCAATACAATTCCTGATATTTTACTGAGTTTTCTTCTTATAACTCTCAAAATAAGTCCATAAGGTAACTAGCATTAACATGATCATCTTCAAACAAGAAAACTAAGGCTAGAGGGGGTTAGTTGATGGTTCCAAATATTTGACAAGCAGAAGAGCTATCCTTAAACATGAGAGTTCTTAATATATCATAATTTTGTAGGATGTAAATATAGAAACTAAAACATTTTATATTAGTTTTATTCCCCAGCAATACTAGGCAATTATCATAATCCAACAAAGAACTAGAAAATATAGACATGGTATTTTAAATATTTTTTGAAAATAGCAAGAAGAAAATATGAGATCAGACTTTGGAGAGAAGGGAAGCCAAGAGAAATGGGCCTGGTGTCTGGTGTACACTTATGTTTTGCAACAAGAATCAAGTACAAGTGGATTGTTGAAAATCTAAGGTGCTTCACAGAGGTAGAAGGGGAAAAGTAGTTTGGGTCTTTCAAAGGGAAATTTTCCCTAATCCTCATATGGTTTGATGCAACACTATAAAGCCTAGAGATCAAGATGAATTAGCTTGATTTTTATCCAATGCAATTCCTGATATTTTACTGAGTTTTCAGCACAAATGAGCTAGTCAGCACAATAACTGAAGTTCATTGGACCATAACTGACTATGATTGCCAGCTCGCAGTCTAGCAACCCATCAGAAATAAACAGTACGACCTCTCAGAGGAAAGATACCACTTTGACTCTGTAATGAGTCATATAAAATATCTGAAAACTAGGAAAAAGAATAGAGAATTTTCAAACATTAAGAAATTATGCAATATATTTGCAAGTAACATAGACATAGAAGGGAAATCATAATAATTAGAGAATATTTTCAAGTAGATGCCAATGAAAAAGCATACATCCAAATTTAGGATTTAGCTACAGATATAGTTCTAAAAGTATATTAGAAACGAAAAGTAAGTCTAAAGATCCACTACCTTACTACTACTAAGTCTAAAGAATACTACTATAGTATTCATATCAGGATGTTGGATAAAAACAGCCAATAAACAAAGGAACATTAAAATAAAGGAAATAAAATGGTAGGAGAAGGTGTTACTAAAATAAAAGACCATATACTATACAGGATGAACACAAAAAGGATGGTCCTTTAAAAATTATTAAAACTGGTAAAGTTCTAGGTTGAATAAAGAATTAGAAATGGCATAAATAACATCATAAGTAAAAAGGTGCTATCACTATAGATGCTTTGATATTAAATGATGTATGGCAATGTCATGAACAATTTAAAGCAAAAAATTTTGAAAATTTAGGTAAGATATCCAAACTCACATAAAAACAAAAATGTATAAAACATGAATAGCTCAAAAAGAAAAAACTTTGCCTGAGTTTTACAGGTCTAAAAAGCCTACTAGCAACTTGTTGTAAATATTTTAAAAAGAAAATCTTCCAGAATTTAGGAAAACATACAACTTTTTCAACTTATTTTATGACACAAATATAAAACATATCAAAACCTGACAAAATATAAGAATATGCATTCATTTCCACAAAATTAGGCTCAAAATCCTAAACAAGTATTAGCAATTGAATCAAAAAATATATGACAGAGATTAATATTTCACAACCAATCTGGATTTATTGAAGAAATGCAAAATTGGTTTAATATTTAACAACAATTATATTTTGCATAGTAAAATAATACAGAATAAAATCATACATTTATGAAATTCAGCAACTGCTCATAATTTAAACAAGAAAGAAAGAACAGAGGGAGCTCTCAAAGCGCAAGATCCCTTTGATGTTTACACAGAAAAAAAACCTGACCCACCTTACACAATGCACACAAATAAAATTTAAGTGTGCCCTATATCTAAATAGAAAAGAAAAAAATAACAAACCCTGAAAATAACAAAAGAAAATATCCTCATGAGGTTAGATGAGAAGATTTAAAATTAACAAGACACAATAAAAGTCCTGTTAATGATAAAGCAAAAGATTGATGAATTATGTTAAAACCAAAAGTAACTATTAATCAAAAGGTACTATTCTGAGAGTAAAGAAATGTAAGAACATATATTTGTAGACCATAGAGTAAAAAAAGTGCCTATATACAGACCATAAAATGAATTACAGATGAGTAGAAAAAGAATTTCAGTCAATAGAGAAAGTAATAAAAGTAGGAAGAGATTTGAAGTTACATGACAAAATAAGATGTCCAAATGACTAATAAATATGAAAAAGTGCATGAACTTGAGATACCAAGAAAATGTAAATTAACAGCATGGTGAGATACCACTTCACATATGCAAAATTGCTAAAAGTTAAAGACATAAATGATACCAAATTTTGGGGTAAGAAATGAAGCAACTATAAATCTTCAATAAAGTTGGTGTAAATTAAATTATATCAACTTAGAAAACTGTTAGCATGGCCCAGAATTCCAAAACTCTGTCTACTCAAAGAAACGTATATGAATACAGTTATCTATGCACAGCTATCTGGTGGTATCCTTCGGGGATTGTTTCTAAGAAGACACTGCATGGATATCATACATGCAGAACTCTCTTATAGAAAATAAAGTTGTATCTCAGATATCCTCTTATAAAATTTAAATCTTTTAAAGATGTATGATAGCTAACACAGGGAAAATGCTATGTAAGAATTGAATCTGTGGATCCAGAACCTAAAAGTACATATGGTCAACTATATAAATATGCATGAGAAAAATATATGCACAAAATTGTAAGAACGTTCACAGAAACATTATTTTTAACACTCAAACCAAAGCTCATCAACTACAGAATCAAGATAAGTGATAGTATTATAGCATAGTCTTTCCATTGAATATTATAAACAAAAGAAAATTATAGCTAAATACAAAAATATGTTTGCATCTCAACACACTGTTGAAAACAATAAAAAAACTGTATTCACAAAGAGAAATAAATACTGTATGATTCACTTGCTTTAATTTGAAATTAAGCACGAACAATCCATGGAATTATAAGTCCATAGAGCTGCTCTAAGTGTATTGTAATTGAAAGCAGGCCATGACAGGAAGAGGTCTGATAACATTCTAGTTCTCAACTTGTGTGTGAGCTGCACACGGGACACTTGCTATGACAATTTACCTGCGGGATATTTATGGTTTGTGTAGTTTTCTATGTTCCCCTTCATTAACTATGATTATAATAAATTTTTTTAAAAACTTGCTAAAGGACAGTGAGCTTGCTGTGTTATTGATGTTGTTTAGAAAAGTGCTTTTAACTACTGTAAAGAAAAATCAATTGTCAGCCAGTGTAAGTAAAATTCATCAATGTTTCTCTTCTCTGCAAACAAGGTCAACACTGGTACCAGACTTTGCATGATACGTGAAAGGTCCAATCAGCACAGGAGAAATCGTGTTCTGGTCATACCTGTGTTTTGTGCTGTTGAATTTAACTTCTTTAATTACACTGAATGTGTTAGTAACTTCTCCGTCTGTGAAGACAAAAAGCTGTACAGAGAAAGACATTCATCAGGCTTCTGTCAACTTCATTCTAAGTCACCAGAATTTGCCCTTGAAAACCCTGCTCTTTCATTACACGTGCTCTAATGCGTCTTCAAACAGGAGCCCTGATGTTCCAGGCCCCCTCACCATGTGCTCACGGGGATGCTCGGAACACTGGGAATTTTCAAGCCCCACACTAGATTCCTATGAGGCTGTTGTGGCCTCTACAAAAGCATTTCTGTTGTCCCTCACATGGAGTTAAGAGAAAAGAATACTTTTTGTCTTCTTTTCTCTTTCTTATATGACGCAATACTCTCAATCACACATGCCCCCACCATGAAGTTTAGGGTCAGAGATTCTTGAGTAGTTTCCACTTTCTTTGTCTGTTGGGCTGGCTCTGTTCCCATTTTTACCTGTAAGGGATGGCCTGGGATGGAGGATCCCCTGAAAATTTTCTGGAGTGGTGTCAAGATTTCAGTGCCCCCTAGGTCTGCACGAAGGACCTTAACTCTCTCCACTGCCTCCTCCATGGTTTGCTGAGTGTACTTCACACTCTCCCTGAGAGAAACAAACACACCCAGTTACAGGATGAAGGCAGCTCCACATTGTCCTTGCTGAGAAACCCCATGAAATAATAATCCTACCTGCGATCACCAGTTCCTGACTCGAGGCTCAGTAACACTTTCAACAACCTAGTCACCCCTGTGAAGTATATGTGTAGGCTCTCTATGGCCTTTTCTGAGACTTACGGAAAGAACGCCTCAAAGGAAGATCCAAATCCATAGATGTTGAAATAACAGTCCAGTGGCAAACTCTTCAACAGCAAGATCAGTGTCTCCTGAAGGGAGGAGAGAAGAGGGAGACACAGCAAACATCTCTCAGACTCCACCAATCTAACTCGAGTATGGGGCCCTCATCCATTTCATTCTACTTCTATTTTAAGACTATTTGCATGGTATTCATGCTAGATACCACTCAGCTGGACCACAGACCTACAGCTCCAAATGCATCCCCATTTCAGTATGTGACTGGAGAAAGGAAAAAGCTCATTTTACCTTGGCTGCCTCTATGCGCAGCTGAGACCTGTCCTGTTTACTCAAAGGAGTCTGCATGCTTCCCGAACGGTCCATGAGGAAGACAAATTCTCCACAGGCCATTGATGCCTCAACTTCTGGGATGTCTGGATAGAAACTCAGCATGACAGCTGGATCTCCCATCAAACTATCTACACAGAAAGAATAAGAAGGACCCTGTAAGATGATAAGAACTCAAGAGTTCTAAACTATCTAAGAATCATTTTTTTTTCTTCTTCTGTATTCCTAAGGGTTTCCTTTTTTCTTTTTTATTTTATTAGAAAAATTTTAAAGTCATAACAAATTTAATAAGAGAATAACAATAGTTAATACACTATGTATCATTATCTGCAAAGTAGTTACTCAGAGTACAAGACATAAACCAAAAAATTCTTACAAAAAAGAAACAAACAGATAATAACACAAAACTTACTTTTCAATGAACTAAGGTAAACTAGCGGTATAAGTATAACATATTAGCATATATGCTAAAATATTTTTGAAACAACAGAATATGTAATTTGAAGAAGTATTTGAACTACCCCCTACATCATATTTATCTCTCTTGTCTTTTGAGCTTTACATGTTTCTCATATAAAAGAAACCATGCAATATTTGAGCATATGTTTTTGTTTTATTTCACTTAAAATTATCTTCTCAAGTTGCATCCATTTACTTATAAAATCTCAGGTTTTTCTTTCTTTATGGTGGCAAAATACTCTGTTGTGTATGAATATCACATTTTTCTTATCCTTCATCTATTGATGTACATAGATGCTGTTTTCCAAGATTTGACTATTATAAATTGTGCTGCACAGACAGCTATTTTATCTTGGACAAAGGAGCTAAAAACATACACTGGAGGAGAGATGGCCTCTTTAATAGATGTTGCTGGGACAACTGGATATCTACATGCAGAATATTGTGTCAAGACTCATATATTTCACCATGTACGAGACTAAAATCAAAATGAATCAAGGATCTAAATGTTAAAAAGAAACATTTCATCTGCTGTAAAATAAAATAGGTACAACTCTTGAAGGCAGAGGCATAGGCAAGGTCTTTCTACAGAACCACAATGGCATAAGAAATAATACCAAAAATCAATAGATGGGATCGTATCAAATTAAAAAGCATCTGGGCAGTAAAGGAAACAACCAACAGAGTGAACAGACAATTTATAGAATGAGAAAAAAATTCAGCAAATATAGCACAGAGGATTAACATCAAGAATATATAAAGAACTCAAAAAAATTATACTTTCTAAAATGAAAGATCCCGTCAAAAAATGGGCAACTGAATAGACACTTTTCAGAGGTAAAAATGGCCAATAAGTACATAAATAATGCTCATCGTTGCTGGTCATGAGATAAATGCAATTTCACCTGAGAAAGAATGGCTATCATCAAAAAATCTAACAACAAATGATAGTGAGAATGTGGAGAAAAAAAGGAAATCCCCTACATTGTTAACACTAGTATGGAAATCAGTGTGAAGATCCCTCAGTGAACTAAAAATAGAAATTCCATTTTACCCACCTATTTTCCTAGGAATCTTCCCAAAGGAGTTAAATTCATCATATTATAGGGACAAATGAGTACCTATAGGAATCATTTTTTAGTGAGTTTAATAAGGAGCTAGGGAAACTCAAATCCAAAACCCCATTCAATTCTTATGCACTATCTGCTTTCAAAGGGTCTGAGGTGAATTATAAGCATATAACAGAGACAGAAGCAGAACAGATATGAAAGAAGAAAAAGATAGAAGTTAGCAGGCCCAAGCAATAATCTGAGTACTGCCAATAGATGCTAATTTCCTGGCAACTCAGTAAATAACTAAGATACACTAAATAAATATTTCCAGCGTTATCCACAAGCAAATCAAATCAACAGGAAGTTTATCACTGTTGATATCTTTAATTTACAACTTTGAAGAAAATGTTCGTGTGCATAATTTTTAGGCTGACAAACTGCAGGGACATTTATAGGCATTATACCTGTAACATAATTATATCTGCTTTGGATATGCACCCCTCACAGATCCTCCCTAGAAGAAAGGGAAGACCCGGGATTCCTGATGAATCCCAATACTTCATTCAAACAATGGGGTGAGGGAGCCTGTGGGAAACTACTCTTCCTGGATAAGTTGGCAAAGCCATACCTGTGATTGTATTTTTGTGGAGCAAATGAAAATTGACCCTGGAGTGGAGAAGCTAGTGCTGAGAAAGAAAGAAAATGAGAATGGTTGCAGTACATCAACTTTAATGCTGTGCTTCAGGGAATATAAGAGGATACAAGATCACACCTCATTACCCTCGGTTTAGAGAGTTATTTCTGGATAATAGGTTTAAATTCATAACAACCCTAGGATTCAGTAAGGCTACAGGATGGGGCTCAATTTCATCTCTTATCCATAAGATGCTACAACAGCCAAACAGTCTATTAAGTGGGCCTCACCCAGGAAATATATAATAGAATATTAGTGGGAAAATAACAGTTACAAACTCCAGACATCTGGATAAACAGTGAGAAAGTAGCATTTTAGATGGGTTAAATAAATTGAGAGATAGATCCTTAAAAAGGGTCTAGCATTGTAATGAGCAGTCAGAAAAGCTGCTGTGAGAATTATATGAATTAATGTATCTAAGGCACTTGGAAAAACACCATATACATGGTAAGAATTATTGTGCATCATCTACTACAACTTGTTAAATCTAAATCAAATTATCTTCACCTGCAAAACTCCCAGCTTCCTATTTTTTAAACAGTGTCGCTCAACCTTAATTCTTAATTCCTCTACTTGCTTGCCTGTCTCCTCCTCTGAAGAATCAATGTATCAAAACCCACAACATGACTGTTTTAAAGGTTAAGTGATACAATACACTTAATGATCTTAGCTGAGGAACCAACTTGGATTAAGCTCTTAATCATAGTTTTATAAAAGTTTTTCTACATTTCACTTTATACACTTATTTTATGAAATCATAAATTTAAAAAGTCATCACATTCTTAATGAAGTAGGTGATTCCTTTATAAAGTTAAAACATCATATTCTGTGCTTTTGTCACATAGTCATGTACTTCATGTCATACCAAGTGGCCACTAAAGATTCTCATTTCTCCTTTGCATGTGTGAGAACAGCTAGTGGCTGAGATGAAATGTATGACCTAGGCAACAGGACTGGAGGAGCTCTTCTGGAAGAGATTCTCTAGACTAATCCATGCTGCCCCTGCTGTTCACCCATGGTCTATAGAGCTGGTCATGGGGAACAGATGAACAGATCTTCTAGGAGCCAAGGACCTGCTTAGAGATAAAGAAGCTGAGATCTCAGTCCTTACCTATTGAGATTTAAGAGCACAACACTATATTTTAAGATAATCTTGTCTCACTGAAGGACACCTCGCTGATGGAGGATGTCATATGCATCCCAGAAGGAGCTCAGAAAATGCAAAGAAATCACAGGTGACAACTGAACAAAGCATGAACGTGGAGCTTCATGAAGGGCAGTAGGTTGCAGCAAATCCAGATGATACCAGGAGCCTTGTCAGCAATCTCAGCATAAGCAAGTGGATTAATTGAAAAATGGTTGAGCCAGGAAAGCTAACAGAGACCACTGGTCATGAGCTCAGCTGTGAAGCCACCTTGGCTAAACATGAGCAGGGAGTGCCTGGCCTGGTCTAGGGTGATGGTACGGCACATGTGCCTCAGCAGGCTCTTTGTATCATTGACAGCTTTGAAAGGTTTGCTATCCCTGTCCTAGGGAAACCAACTTCAGGGAACTGTCTTCACAGCAGCTGTAGTTACACAAGGGAGAGCCTAACCCCAGCATCTCACTAGGAATGGGGATTTTCCCAAGTATGCTTCCACTTCACAGATGTGGAAATGCTCCAGGAGTGGCGTGTCCCTCTATCATGGTTATGGTCCCTCCATCCAGTGCAGCGCACACCAGCAACAGACTGACATGGACTATACCAGCTCTGTTACAGGAAAAACTCATAATATATATCCTGGAATATTTACCAACTGAGAAACATTAAAAGTAAAAAAAAGATTAAACCCACTAAAAATCTTAACTTAGTTTTAGAAATTAAGAAACCAGGCAAGACAAAAGAGTTTTGGAGTTGGACAGTGTTGATTATTGCACAAGGTGAGTTACTTAAGCCCTTAAGTGTAGATCGCTGTACTTAAAATGGTTAAAATTTGTTACTTATATTTATTACAATAAGAAAGAAACACAGCTGAGACTACATGTAAATATGAAAAATCAATCAATAAAAGATTTTTATTCAATTATAAAAAACTAAGAAAGAAAATTTGTTTTCATCCAGATATAATTACTAGATACCTACTTTCTGTGTATTTACATTTTTTACCTAACTCATGGGCTGTTTTTAAGAGAAATCTGCATGAATTAGTTTCCTCTAACTTCCCATTCTTGGAAGCCTTTTTGCTGTTACTTCAGTCTTTTACTGTACATTACTTTAGTAACTGCATGATAGCTCATCAAGTTATTGATGCCATACTGAATGTAGTCACTCTAAGGCATCTTGATTGTTTATTAATATTTGATACTATTAAAATAGCACATCTCAGTGCATATTTTTACTTATATTTAGATTTATTTTCTTAGGGAATGTTTTGCAAACTGGAATTACTGAAATGAGTTTTTTTTTTTTTTTTTTTTTTTTTTGCTTTTTCTCCGGTACCGGGAACTGAACTCACGACCTTGCACTTGCCAGGCAGGCGCTTTGCCGCTGAGCTAAATCCCCAGCCCCTGAGTATTTATTTTGATATATATATATAACCACTTTGTTGTAAAGTGTGACATCAAATAATTCTGCTTCAAGCAGTCTGAGTGCCAAATCTGCCATATCTTCTAAATCATACAGCATTATCAGATTTGAAAATGTTTTATCTTGTGTCTTAGTTACTTTTCTCTCAACAAAATACCTGACACTCAAAGTTAAAGGAGAAAATGTTTATTTAGCTCACAGTTTTTAAAGGTTTCAGTCTCTAATTGGCTGGCTCCAAGGCAGGGTGGACGGCAGGCAGGCATTACAGAGGAGAAACACTGCATGGCAGGCAGAGAGTAGCAAAGCAACAAGAGGTGACCACAGCTCTTTCCATCCCTTCTATCTTATCCAGGCTACTTAGGGCGGATAGCACTCAAACCCTTAATCCTACTGCCCTTGAGCCTAGCATTGCTCCATGAGTCAATTCCAACATCACACACTCTACATCCAGCCACCTCCTAAAAAGCCCCAACTATGATTGCATGAGGCTTTGGGAAGACATCTAAACACAAGCTGTAACAGCTTGAAAGGTTAAAAAAAGTCACAGTTATATTTTGTTTGCTTTTCTGTAAAGACCAACCATTGTCACATGTTTATAACTGGCTGTGTTTTCTCTTGTAAAATATCTATTCATTTCCTTTGCCCAGTTATCTATTAATCTATGTAAATTTCCCTATAAGACATAACAACATGACATTAACCATTTTTGAGTGCTGTTGGGTAAGCTTTTTCAATATTTCACATTTATGTATTACTTGCTACTGAATGGGGGAAAGAAAAAGGAGAACAATTTGAAGATGAGTCCAAGGCAGAGTTATCTCCTAGGAAGTGACTGCACAGGGAGAAAGAAAATACCTGGTTTCTTTTCAGGCATCCCCGTCTCCACGGCAACTCTGGGGCTGTGCACTGCACTGTAGTAAATCAAAAGTTCCACGTCCTGATCAAACTTGTGTCCTTCAGCCAAGGCAACCTGATATGGGGACCACCAAAGGGGCCACTTTAGAAGCATTACTCTTTGATTTCTGGGGCTGAGGTCAGAATTGAGTGCTACAAGTTTCTTTCCAAAGTGAGCAGGATCATGACCAGGGGTGAGCATAGACTCTGGGCATTGAATGGGAATAAGAAGAGAACACAGTGCACTTCCCTCAGGGTTAATGTGAAAAGCAAGAAACAGATGGTAAAAATTGGATGAGGAGCACATTAAGACCCATAGAACAGGAGCACGGGCAGCAACAGCAATGTCTATTAATTACCTGAGCTGAAGTCTTATCATCTTCAAGGTACTCCATAGGGCTCAAGGGGCAGTTGGACTGGACCCTGTCGATTCCATGCTGAGAACTGATGCTGGTGACCATGTTGAGTGTGTAGGGCAGGTCCTCCAAAGGCATTATAGGTGTCTTCAGATTAACACAATTGTCCTCGGTCTGTCCTGCAAAAATTACACTAATTCTGTCTTCCTTGCCAATACGTTTCAACACATCTATAAACCTAAGGGAATTTCTCCAGTTATACCACCACCTGGTATTGAAAAGAGATACTCACCAGAGGGTTGGTACCTAGGATTCAGGATAGCTGGGAGCACATAGCGTAAGGCCCCGTCTGCTTCCAGAGGCAGCTCTTGCACATACCTCAGGGTGAGTGCAACCTTTGCCCCTGGCTGGAGGTTCCCCACATTGCAACAGAAGACATCCCTGGAGCACTTGTCCTCTTCCAGCAGATAGGCTTGGTAGCCCTGAGAGATGGCATCCTCATAGTCAGCATGGGCCTACAGAAAATACCAGGAGGAAGGAAAGGTAACATCAAATAAAAGGATGAATAGAAAACAGTTCTTTGGGGAAGGACTGTGATGGGCCTTGTCACACCCCCCACCACTGAATGCTTTAGGAACATAACAATTATAAAAGAGTGAAAGAAAGTCCATTCAATAACAGCATTTGTTGTACAGTTTCATTTATTAGAGATCCTAAAATGTGTGTACTAAGGAAAGAATAGAGATACAATATCTATCTCCAGTACCTTCATCTTGTCCTGTAATTCTGCCACTATTTTGTTCCCATCCACCAAGGCCTCAAAGGTATAGACAGCAGAATCTTCATCCATGGGGAACACAAAGAAAGCTTCCAAAGCGACATTTTCCTCATTCTCATAGTGTAAGGTTGCCGACACACCAGCTACAAACTCACGGATGGACACGGTCACAGAGATGTTCTTCAGTGCCACTGTAGAAAGATCAGGGTTCAAGAATTCAACAAGCTTTAGTAGAGTTCCCCCTGCAGGCCAGGAATTATGCTAGATACCAAAGATACAGTTGGCGAGTAAGAGTCAAGAATCAGGCTTACCTGGTTGATTCTGGCGAGTGAGCAGACCACCAGGACTCACCATGGTGATGTAGGATTTCTGTGGAAAGATACATATGCTATGATCAGAGTGGCAAGTGAGAATTTTCCATTCAAAGGCCAGTCCTTACCAATGCTTGTCTTTGACATTAGAATGCATTCAGAGGGTTAATGTTGGAGTTAGGAGGAATAAAAGTGGAGACAAAGGGACAAGGATTCTAATAGGATAGGTCTTAAAAGCCAGCCCCAAATAGGAAAGCTGCAAGATCCACAAGATATCCACTAACAAGAAATCTCTGAAATATGCTGTGCCTGCTTCCAACAACAATACCACTTTTTCAAAAGTGCGTCTGATACTCCACTCCTTAGGAATAATGCATAGGTGCCATAATTTCTGGAAACCTCAATATTCTATGGAAACAAAGAGGGAGGATTTCTATGTGTCTAGTTCTGATTTGCATGATTCTTTTACCCAAAGAGTCTACAGGTTGGTTTGATCCTATTGATGACCCTCAATGTCCGTGGAAGCTGCTCCAGGACAGTTCTGAACTAATCAGGTAGCCAGTTTGACTCTCCGTGTCCTGAGACCTGCAGTGCCATCTCTAGGACCAGTAAGGGAGCTTTTCATCCTGAGGAGCTCAAATGAAACTACATGGAGCACAGAGCAAGCTAAAGCATCATAACCCCCATGTGCTTGTCCACAGGCTTAAGGTGGAAGAATCACTGAGAACTCCACCCTTCCCAAGATCTACAGGTTGAAAAAAAATGCTGTCTTCTTTAAAGACAGCATCCCCTCCTAAAACAATCCCACCCTGAGTGATTCTGAAGCTTTTGGTAGGACTATTTCTAGGCTGTGTGTGCACAACCATATTTAAAATACACTTTAGGGCTGGGGCTGTAGCTCAGTGGTAAAGCACTTACCTTGGACACATAAAGCCCTGGATTCAATCCACAACATAGAGAAAAGAAAGAAAGAAAAAATGAGCAAACAAATACTTGCCCTTAATTCAAAGTAAAGTTCTTACTAATTATGCATCTATGATACCAGTGGTATTTCCCGTACACCAAGTTCTACTCTCACAAATGGACACTAACAAATTAGGCTCAAGTTTTGCATCTGCCATTTAGAGCAACTGTTTGAAAATTAAATGTGGCCAAATGCCTCACTTTTTGACAGTAACACAAAGAACCATGGCAGCTGAAGGGACAGAAGACTGTGCAGACAAAATGGGGTTCCAGGGAAACCATAAGCATGGGAAATTCTCTCAGGAAGAACAAGCCGGGAGTGGGGGGTTGAAAGATCTCTAATACCATCAGCCAGAAGTTCAGTGGGCTGGGGATTTAGCTCAGTGGCACAGCGTCTGCCTGGCAAGTGCAGGGTCGTGAGTTCAATTCCCTGGACCAGAAAACAAACAAACAAAACAAACAAACAAAAAACAAAACAAAACAAAACAAAAAAAAACCCCAGAAGTTTAAAGCCAGTAACTTGCACAGGAGTAGAACAGCTGTTGGATTGTGTCAGACAACCAAAGCTCTCAGGCTGCCTTGTACTTACCAAGGTGACTGAGAAACAACCTTATTTTCCAAAACAAATCCATCTAACCCCAGAACAAATCCCTCACTAAGAGAAATATCCTATGCTGCACTCTCTGCCCATCCCCTCCTCAGTACACAGTTGATTGGGTCAGAATTATTTCTGTTCTTCATGATGAAACTTCAGGAAGGAACCTAGTAACAGATAAGGTAGACTGTCTATGGCAACTGATCAAAGTCAAAGCCTGAACCTGAGTCCCAGGGAGGCTTCTCACTGGCTTCAGGTTCTCAGGGCTACTAAGCTAGAGCCACTGAGCTGCAAGTGGGAAGGAGAGAAGCAGTGTAGCACAGAGGGCCACACCCCTGCCCTCAGGTTCACTGGAGGAGGTGGAGGACCTAGGATCATTCCAAGGAGGAGATCTGGGGTACACAGTGCAGCCTGTGCAGAAACAGAGAGATTTAATCTTCAAATATTGAGTCCTAGATTTTTAGTGCACGCACATGTACAAAGGGGGCAGTGTAAAGCTCTTAAATTGCTATACAGAAGGAATTATGGGCTGCAATTGACTGGAGTAGAAGCTTAAAGCCATAGTTTCCAGGCACAAATATATAAAATCAATCACCTGAGAATGAAAGAGGAAGAAAAGTAGTTAGAAGAGGGGCCCTGAGATCCTTAGAAGATAATTAACTGGACCCTCCAACCCCCTCAAGTTCCTATCTACTGCCAAGCCTGTGGAAAGCAGGAGGATCACACAAGACTAAATTCCCCACCTGTTCTTAGAACAAGAACCAGCAGATCTGAGGCAAAGAAAACGGAGGCAGAGTGAGAGGCTGTCTGTCTTCAGGAGCAGGGGATGTCAGCAGCAGGATCACAGCACAGTGAGTCACTAAAAACAACTGCAACATAATTTCCTGGAAGTCCCGCCCCCTCCTAGGGACCAGTTGCAAAGTAGCAACTATATGACTAAGGGAGTGGTGGAAAAGTTTTAAACAAATAGTGCAACTTCTGCTTTTCTGTGGGCAGAAAAGTCCCCCGGGAAGAATGTTTACTTATTTCTTCTGTCAGGTCTGGGAAAGGAACAATTAGAGGACCATCAAAGGGAAGGGATTTGTTTTTCAAGTGAAAATGCTGCAACAGTAAAATCAACAGTAACAGCAAAAACTACTTATTTCTTTAACAGACCCCTCACACACACACACCCACACACACCCACTCCCCCATTCCCCGCCTACTGTGTGCTAGGCCCTGGTAATAAGACATGATGGGCATATTGACTCCTTGGCTTTAATTTAAGTCTTTTATCCATAGGTTAGAGCAACATACACTCTTTTGCTTTATTTTAAACGGAAAAAATGAGGAAAAAAACATCAAAAATGATATAGAATTTTGATACAAGATGCTAGGAAATCAACAATGGTTGTTATGTTGCATACTGTTACCTTCAAAGTACTTGTTCAGATTATCATATATAAGCACATAAAATTGGTCAAAAAACTAAGCATTAACTGTTCTTCTCAGTAAACCAATAGAAATTAGAGGTAGAATTATCTTAGCACATATATATATATATATATATATATATATATAATTTTTCTCTTCCTTCTTTCTTTCTCTTCTATTTTCCCTCATCCCAGCTATTCTTTCCTTTTGAGCAGTTTCTTTCCCCTTCACAGTATCTATTGTACCGTTCAGATTTTATTTACCCTTTCAGGTTCTTACACTAGGGAGACAATATGATGTTTACACATGCAGGTCTGATTTATTTCACTTATGAGTATGGTCTCAATTATTTTGATTTATACCAAGGATAGAATGGCTGAGTTTATCTTTTAAGGAACTGCCAAACTATATCCCACAATGGTTTCACCATCTCACCACCTATCAACATTTTGTCCTTGCCCATTTGTGTTGGACGGAAGCTAGGTGACCTTCCTAGAGTATTCGAGAAGACATCAGAGAAATGCTGGCTTTGACCCTCGCTGGAGAGTTCCTCATTAAGCACTAACCACCAGTACAGCAATTAAATCCAGAAAATAAAATTTTGTGTAAAATAGAGGAAGAGGATATATATTTCCCCCACCACCAGGGATGGCATATGTAGCAATAACTCTCCACCAACATCCATAGGGAATATGCCTACAGCTACACAAAAGTTAACCACATCTCCTGGGAAGGTCTTAGTTTCTTATCCTTGTGTGGGAATCAAGCTTTTAGATACTTATCCAGATCAGTTTATTGTATTTGGGATTATTAGTTAGAACATTTCTGTGATATAAATCTCCAAGATTCTGAGTAGGTAAGATCAATCTTACAAAGAGTCTGCAGAGATAACACTCTTTCCAAGATAACCCTTAGAATAGGCTTCTTTAGGAGGAGTCATAAATTAGAGGTGGTCATCAAAAATGTGTCCCTCATTTTGGTTAACATGTAGCCCAAACACTGAAATCTTAAGAGTTTAAATTCCTTAATCCAAATACATACTAATAACATAGCATTAGATTTTCTTTTGGCCAGCTGTGTAGAATATAGATCATTTATAACATTCATGTTTCTTTTTTTAACATTCATGTTGTACTTAGATTAGCAGTAGATGTCAAATAATTTTTAAAGTTAAAAGTAAAAACAAAACAAAACCAAAAAAAAAAAA